AGTCCAAACAGCTGATAAAAACATCACAGTAATCCACAATACTCCAGTCCATCCATCGAAAAGATGCGTGTTTATAAGAAACAAATTCATCAACACATTTTTAAACGTCGAACTGTTGCTTCCAGCTAAAATACGAGTCCTCTATGCATTATATTGCTTTCTCCAATGAAAAAGTCATCTTGTCTGAATCAGGAGAGAAATATGCACAGATCAAACGCCAATTATAAGTGAACGCAATCCAAAACAGTTCTATAAGTTGGTGGATTTTGATGTGAGAGGCTAACTGGGGATGGATTTTTCACTGGAGGAAGCGTTATTGTGGATTATGGACTCGTATTTTGGCCAGAAGCAACTTTTTAAAGTTAAAACACCTAAATGGATTTGTTTCTCACAAACACACAGCATTTCACTTCACAAGATGTTAACTGATGGACTGGAGTGGTGTGGATTACTTGTGGATTATTGTGATGTTTTTATCAGCTGTTTGGACTCTCATTCTGACGGCACCCATTCACTGCAGAGCATCCATTGGTGAGCAAGTGATATAATTATAAATTTCTCCAAATTTGTTTCCATTAACAAACAAATTCATCTTAGGCTCGAGGATGAGTACATTTTCAGCAAATTTTCATTTTTGGTAAACTATCCCTTTAACCTGTTGGTGGGGAATCATCCACTGCTGGGATAAAGATGTTATAACAGCATTTGAAGATCCAAAGGCTAAATAATGTAATGAAATTGGTGACAAATGCTTTATAAGCACACGACCAAGCAGTACTCATCATGGGACTTTGGGTTTGAATCTTTACATGCAATTTATACACTATTTAGCTTCTTCATGTATGTCTTATTACTTGCTCTTAGGTTTGTATAACATTGTCTTTTTCTGTTATTCTTTGTGTTTTTGTAGGAACTGGTCTCAGTTAATACAGAGGGCAGGAGGGGAGACATGTCTGTGCTGGGACACATTAAACACAAGTTGGTTTGTTCACCTGACTTCCAGGCTCTTCTGGAAAACAGAGCTTGAGGAGCGGCTGCTAGAATCGCCAGTAATTCACTTCAATGCTGTAAATCAATTTGTGAGGAAATGTTCCCATGTACTGTCACAGATGGAGAACTCGGAGCGAATGAATGAAATTTATTTATACTGTATGCTCAAGGAAATTTATTTGAAGAATTTATGCGATGTCTTTTCAAGATGAGACACTATTACACATGTAAATATTGTGGGTTACAATAACAAGTTTATTGTAAAAATCTGAGTTTGAGTTAAACATTAAGTTAATAAATGTGCTAGAAATTTCTCCTTTTTCCTCCTCCCTGTTTTTTAAATTATTATTATTATTATTATTTTGAATCAGCTTCCTAGTGGTGGGAATGTGCTGACGGGCATCTTGCAGATGTGAGTTTCATTAGAGGTTGTTTTTGTAATCCTAAAAAGTTCAGCATAATTATATTTAATTGCATTTTAGGACACGGTTTCTCTGAGTAATATTCAGTCATTTAAACATTAAGTTAATAAATGTGCTAGAAATTTCTCCTTTTTCCTCCTCCCTGTTTTTTAAATTATTATTATTATTTTGAATCAGCTTCCTAGTGGTGGGAATGTGCTGACGGGCATCTTGCAGATGTGAGTTTCATTAAAGGTTGTTTTTGTAATCCTAAAAAGTTCAGCATAATTATATTTAATTGCATTTTAGGACACGGTTTCTCTGAGTAATATTCAGTCATCGCTTTTTGGATATTATGGAGTGGCTAAAGGGACAAAAACCATTACCATGTAATCCATTACATTACACATTTTAGGTAATATAATCAGAGTATTTTCTGATTACTTTTAGATTACTTGTGACCTTTTCTCTGGTGATGTATGCATGACTTCTGTTAACTTACACTTAAACCTGCCTTTTTGTTACGAGTGATAATTATTGCAATAGCATTTTGGACAAACTTGTTGTTTTTCTCAAGCAGAGCTAGTTGATATTCATGTTGATGTTTTCCATCATAGCATCTCTGCAGCAGCAGCATGAGGATGACGTGGCTGGCTGCAGTAAAGTTGTGTCTTCTTTATTCTGAAAGCCGCTGCACCTGTTTAATGGTTCAGCACTGATACTGTAGCTGCGGCAGCAGATTTACAGGCACTAAAAGAGTGTGTGATGCCGGCTGGGGCTTGTTGATAACATTTACTTTCGTCGTTAATACATAATGAATTATCAGCTAGCCTACTTAGATTATAACCACTAAAATAATGACTTCTGTTAACTTACACTTAAACCTGCCTTTTTGTTACGAGTGATAATTATTGCAATAGCATTTTGGACAAAATTTTGTTTTTCTCAAGCAGAGCTAGTTGATATTCATGTTGATGTTTTCCATCATAGCATCTTTGCAACAGCAGCATGAGGATGACGCGGCTGGCTGCAGTAAAATTGTGTCTTCTTTATTCTGAAAGCCGCTGCACCTGTTTAATGGTTCAGCACTGATACTGTAGCTGCGGCAGCAGATTTACAGGCACTAAAAGAGTGTGTGATGCCGGCTGGGGCTTGTTGATAACATTTACTTTCGTCAGTGCCTGCCTCAATCCTTTCCTCTACGCGTTTAACCACTATCACTTCCAAACCCACACAGCAACTTCCAACACGACGCAGCCATTCAGCCACAGAAGTCAAATAAGCTCAAATATTCCTCATGTGGTAACATTTAAATTTATGTATTTTTTATTTTCATTTAATATGACTGAATCGACCTGGGTTTTTAAAGGTCAAATCATGTATATCCACTTTTTACATTGTACATCCACACATAGTCTGACTTCATTGTGTTACTAAACGTGTTATATTTAAGTTAATAAAACATTCATAGGGTTAAGGCAAATTAATATATAATGAATTATCAGCTAGCCTACTTAGATTATAACCACTAAAATAAAATGATAAAAACTGCTGCTACTTCATAAACTGCGATTTGAAGAATGATCAGAAAGAAATGCTCCTCATGAAGGGACTGTTGCTCGGTTTTGCTTATATGTCACTGTGACACCGTACTTCTGTACCACATGACACTGGCTTTATAAAAGCTTTAAAAACAAGACGCTGAAATGACACTATGAGAAGTCATGGCAAATGTGACATTCACAACCATCTTCCCATTATTGCAGATGACTGCTCTTTTGAACTTTCTGTTCATCAAAGAATCCTGAAAAAAAGTATCACGGTTTCCACAAAAATATTAAGCAGCACAACTGTTTTCAACATTGATAATAATAAGAAGTGTTTCTTGAGCAGCAAATCAGTATATTGATTCCTGAAGGATCATGTGACACTGAAGACTGGAGTAATGAAGCTAAAAATTAAACTTTGCGTCACAGGGATAAATAACATTTTAAAATCCATTTAAATTGTAATATTGATTTTGTATCAGTGTATATTTGTATAAGAATTGCATGTGTTTTCAACACAGCTCTTGCACTACAGGGAGCCACTAACTGTAATTCTTCACAACTAGTGAATTTGATATTTTATTGACTATATTAAGATATGCGATGGGGTCATGAAAATGCACTGCATAGAATCCCACTTATTGACTTCTGCTGCTGTGTTTCAGAGGGACTGTACAGTAAATAACTAGTCAACTCATGAAGAGTCCTATAAATAGTCGGCTCATTATTTTATTTTATGACTCCCTGCCAGTGCTTCAGTTTCTGAATGATTTCCTGCTGGAGTCCTATTATAGCTAATGCAGTGACTCTTCTTCTCTGCCTTCAGCTATCTGATTCAGCCATATAGCCTACATTAACTGAATTGAACTTGAGTTCAACTAATTGCATTTATATATTTAAACTGCAATGCATTTTTATTTCATTGCAAATTCAAAAATAGGCTAACTGTCCAAATTCAGTTCACATATATATCATTTTCGTAATAAATACTCTTGAAAATTTGTTAAAGTGTACTTCTTTTTCATAATTAAACACTTCTTACTTTTATGTGGCTTTCCAAATAAAACTGTTTACACAAAACATGCAAGTTAAAAGTCATTTTGATTTATTTTTTTACTTTATGCATTTTAGGTGCACAGTTGTTCTAAATGGTACAATCAGTTGAATAATTTCCATTGCAACTGTGTTGCTATGAAAGTTTGTTTGTGGAAAAACCAAAGTCTCGAAGAAGTGCAATTTCCAGCCTCCTAACAAAGTCGACGAAATTCAGTCTTGAGGTTCACTTGTGGACTATAAATTTATATGAAGCCTAGTCAAGATAGCTGATGTCCCTATATTTCACATTGCACTTCGTGCAGGGGCGTAGCCATCATTTCAGAAGTGAGGGGGACAGAAATGTTATATACATACAAAAAAAAAATATATATATATATATATATATATATATATATAACATTACAATATAACATTTCTGTAATCTATATAACCTACCAGTCAACAGTTTTTGAACAGTAAGATTTTTAATCACGGAGTGTTTAGCGCTTCGTGATGTTCATCTCGCCTTATTCTGGGTCCGAATAAAACATCAGATCATGCACAGACTATCCTGTCTCTTTTAATTTAAATCTATATTTATTCACACCAGTGCTTGAAAACCTCTATGCGAACACACTTGCCCGAAAAAGTGCGGGCCGGGGACGAATTTACGTGATAGTAAAAGTGGGGGGGGGACACATCCCCCGCGTAATCTACGCCCCTGACTTCGTGGTAAACACTGGCTGTGAGAACGTTTGGGAAAATACAAGTTCCTAAAAGCTTCAGGAACTTGAATGCGGCTGCAGTTTTTCGCCAACTCACCCAACAACTCAGTATTTATCCAAACAAACTGGTATTAGCTACTGATGTAAACCTGTTTTCCTTCCTCCAAAAAGTACAAACCCCGCCCATCTAATGACTTCCCTCATAACTTTCAGTTCAGATACTATATGAAACATGTACAGTATAAGTGAAGGAGCATTCAGTGTCAGCTGGTTTTCTGTGGACCGGTGTGTGTGTGGACAGAATGGGCTTCAGTGCGCTCCTGTGCGCGGGTGTTGTAGTTTTGTGCAGCGCCGCTCCGTTTAAACTCCCGCAGAGAAACGAGCCTCACAACGACAGACCGATCATCGGTAAACCTCTTACCCTCATATTGTGTGTCAAGCAGATGTGTGCACTAAAGGTTTTGGTTCGCAAAATTCGATTTACTTTAACTTGAACTATGAACATGATAAGAATAACTATCATGTTCATAAATAATAACAACAAACCCACGCTATAAGTGTGTGACTAACCTTTAAAGCATAACTTTGTCTATAGGGATTCTGACGCAAGAGGTTGACAATGAGTCAATGAAAAAGTTTGGAAAGACATACATCCCTTCATCATATGTGAAGTACATTGAGTCCGGGGGAGCTAGAGTTGTGCCAATTAGGTAAGTCTTGTCTGTTTGTTAGCATTAAAGGTAATTCCGATTCATGTTTAAAAACCGATTAATCGATTCAAGTTACACCAAAGTATTTCTTCATGAAAAAGAAGTACACTCTACAGAAATAATGTAGGCTATTTTAACAGAATATACTTAACGTGTGAACTTAATGTAATGTGTTTTAGGACACTTCATGTTACTTATTGTCTTATATTTTACATTTATATTAGGCTAAATACAGTTAGTTGAACATTAGCTAGTTATTAAGAGTGCTTGTTGACCCACTTAAGTAGGACTTATGGATATTATGTCATAATACTTATTTTTTCTTTGAAATTAATGTACAAAGTTTTATCTCCAAAGTCAATCCAGTGATTTACAAACATGAATATGCCAATTAGTGTGACTGAGTCATTCATTTGGCCCAAAAGTTCTTGCTATCTGGGACCTGATTCATATTAATAATAACAACAACCATACATTTAAGAGAATCACACAAGGTAGAAAATAATTAATCAGCAAATCCAAAGTCAAAATGTGCTATTTCAACAATCATACTAATGAACACATTCTATGTTACAGGCTAAACCAGAGTTTGGCAGAGCATGAACAAATCTTCAGGTCAATAAATGGGTATGTTCTCCATCTTTCTTTCAAAACTCTGTTATGTGGTGTTGACATTACCTGAACAAGTCTATCACGCCCAGATTTCCAGGATGACCTTATACCTGATGTGTTCATACACGATCATTATCTTTTCATTATTTAAGCTGTTAGATACATGTTGTTGGCCATTATGTAATGTACTGTCAGCATTGGAGATGATTGCAGTAACCTAGATTTGATCTGTTCTGCCAGTTTATAGGCTAATAATAGACATATTTTTCTGTGCAAACCCTTCAAACTAAGAAAAATATACATTACCATTCAAAAGTTTGAGGTCAGTAATTTTTTTTTCTTTTCTAATAGCCTACTGTTATTCAGCAAGAATGTAGGGATAGTAAATGGTTAAAAAAGATTTCTAATTTGAATAAATGCTGTTCTTTTTAACTTTTTATTCATTGAAGAATCCTGAAAAAGTATCATGGGTCCCAAAAAAATACTAAGCAGCACAAATGTTTTCAAAACTGATGATAAATCATCATATTAGACTGATTTCTGAAGGATCATGTGACACTGCAGACTGCAGTAATGATACTGAAAATTCAGCTTTGCATCACAGAAATAAATTACATTTTAAAGTATATTAAAACAGAAAATCATTATTTAAAATTGTAATAAAATTTCACAGTATTACTGTTTTTTCTGTATTTTTGATCAAAGAAATACAGCCTTGTTGAACTTAAGAGACATCTTTTAAGAGAATTAAAACATATTACCAACCCCAAACTTTTGAATGGTATATATATATATATATATATATAATATATATATATATAATGTGTCTAATGTCCATTTGCACATTTGTTTCCATTAACAGAGGCTTCATCCAGTCGTATGTTTACCAACTTCCCATCTGACGTCCGTAAAGCATTGTCCCAGGAACCGCTTACTGGAAATTTCCACCATTATGGAGTGACCAAAGCGGTATATCTTTTATAAACACACAATATTCATTTAAATACTGATGTGTTCTAGGACCTTTATACAGTACGCGCCACTGTAAAGACACTAAGTCTATCCCTCACAGACTTGTTTTCTTCCGTGTTAAATTCAATATGATGTCTAACCTGATTAAGGTCTATAAACTCTTCCTCTTTGTCAGGCATTCATGGGAAATGAGAAATTAAGTGGCTTCTTTTCAGTGCTCTCCACAAACATAGCACAAAATGGCCTTGAGTTTGTTTCTACCGTGGAAGGTAACAAAACCAGAGGCTTTTCACATTTAAAACAACCCTATACAAGCACCCATACACAGTGTGGATGAAATATTATCGGCCTGCAGGCAGGAAGCACCCTTTCTATGGAGTACAGTGGCATCCAGAAGTGAACCGCTTTCAGTGGGACCCTCGTTACAACTTTCCTCATTCCAGCAATGCTGTGCGCGTGTCGTCCTTACTGGCTGAATTCTTTGTAAATGAGGGTAATTGCAGTCTCATACTTTACTTGTTTATGTGTTTGCTTGTTCCTCATTTGTATGAATTTGGATGAACAAATGCATGTGTGTGTTTGCAGGAAGGAGAAGCTCCCACCACTTCAGTGAAGCAGCAGAAGAGAGCAGCGCGCTGATATACAACTACAACCCTGTGCATGTGGCAAATATCTCTGCATATGAACAATCTTATTTCTTCTGAGAGACACAATATAGGAGGACATTGAGAAAGACAAAGAAAGAAAACACCTGTCAAGATATTTCAGACAAATGTACTGTAATAGACCTCATCACAGACCTCATCTCATTTTAGGAATATTGTTTTTAACTGAGAGACAATTTAAATAATACGTGTTTTATTAAATGATTTTGGATTTATTATAACACTCATTCATTATGAAGATGATTACATATTTCATTCCTTCAAAGAGAACATTGTATATATGCATGTTTTTAAATGACACATTACTAAAGATCAAAGGCACGTTATGGTTTATGTGCCAGAAGAGGGCAGTATTGTCATGTTTAAAAAAATCAGTTTTTCTCTCATGTTGTTTTCTAAAATAGTCTATAGGATTTTTTTTTTTACAACATATGAAATTTAATACAGATTTCCCATCTACAAGCCAAGTGTTATTCCTGAATAATATTCATTCTTTACTTGATTTTAACTGTGCACTAAGACCTTTATTTATCACATTTAAAACAACAGATTTACTCAAGGTACTGTACAAATCATGAAATATCAATACAACTATCATATTTTCATATCTTCAAAGGCTAAACAAATGCTTTAATAATAACTGAAAAACAAATAAATGAGCGCTGTGGCAACCAGTCAACCCCCTGTAGACCTTATCTTGGCACCACAACGTCACAGAGGCACTGGGGTGCAGTATTGTGTATTGAGGCCCTTAGGGGCCCCTCGGGATGAGGATATTGTAGAGACATGCTGGGTGGACTCTTTTTTTACTTGTGGCAGTTTAGGGGCCCCTCCAATATCTCAGTACCACCATATTGTGAAGACAAGAGGGTAGGCTCTTTTTAATACTGGGGCCCTTTGTCGGCCCTTGGGGCCCCTGTCATATCTCAGAACTAGGCGTGAGGGTGGGTTGACTAATGCCAACATACCCAAAAATCCAGCACAATGGTCATGAATGTTGCACTGAAAAAAACATTTTCTTCAGAAAGTGTAATTATTATTGGTCGTTTGTAATTACACATCGCTATTGTGTTTCTATTTCGATTACTTACATATGACATTTAATGTGTCATATGAACGTACAAAATGACAGCCAGAGGACTGTCTTGTTTATGTCTTCATATACAAGTCACAGATGACAGTGGAGAAGAAGATTGGCTCAATGTTGTGCCCATCACTCCGGCTGGGAGGGACTTTAATTCGCTCTTGTTTAGTTCTCAATGGATGCCAACAACATCAGCCACGACACGCGATCAGATGTAAAGCGAAGGACGTGTTTTGTTCACCGGACGTAAACGCAAGCTGAATATGAGTCAAATGTCGTGAATGTGAACGCATTTACTACCTGACCAGATGAAACGACTGAGATCGCTATGAAGACGAGTGAGGACTGCGTTTAGATGAATCCAGATGTGCTGCATGGCCTGACAGAGCGACAGACAGACAGAGGGCATCGTCTCTCTGTTTATAACACACATCCCTTCATAGAAAGGAACCGCACGGGTGGATTGATGCACCCTTTCCAGTGGTGCAACGGTAAGATCCTTCCTGAAATATTGTAGGATTTTATAGGCTGCTGTCTTAAAACAATAAAAGAAGATAAAAGCGTGAGGGTTGACTGGGTCCATAAACAAACACCGTGTTCATAACAATGAGATGTTGCTATATGGGTCAAAGGCTCTATGAAATGACGAAAAAGGGAAATATTTTTAAAATCTAGTTTAAAACGCACATGCCAGGTCTTAGAAATATCATATTTGTATCCACAGGGGTTTGAGACATTTTGAAAAACAATTATTACTTCAAAGAAGTTTTACTGAATGACTAAAAATGTCAAGTGGTGTAACCTTCAAATACTACTTACCTTGTTCATGTGAATAGACAATTTTTCAAATGTGCTTTTCAAGGCATTTTTTTACAACTATCATACATTTTGAGTCATGCATATCTAATAATAATAACAATGTATATTAAGTTTTCTTGGGGTTACTTCATTTGACTTTCATTAAAAGGTCAAAATATATAATATATATATTTTTTAGCAAACTTAATGACCTTGCAGTGATTGGTCTAAAGGGATCTGTTTTATGGTTTTATTGTCATGTTATAAAATGGCTTCCGTCATGTTAGTTACACCACACTGACTTTGATTTGGCAGACAAAATTAATATTAGTAAATGATGGTTCATATATGATTCATTTGTTATTATAAATGCATGAATGATGCCAACAAACAATATAATAAAATAATAACATTGCTAATAATTAAAAAACATATCATTATTTGAACTAGAAACTGAAAACTTTTTTTTTATCACTGAACAGATGTATTTAAGCATTTTTATAACTGTATTTTAATTAGTGCTGTCAAACGATTAATCGCGATTAATCGCATATTATATAATATAAATTATATGAATTTAAATGTATACATGCAAATATTTTCAAAAGATATACTGTATGTGTGTGCATTTATAGTTACAGTACACATACATATATTATGTGAACAAAAACTTTTATTTTGGATGCGATTAATCGCGATTAATCGTTCGCCGGACTAATTTTTATGCATTTTTGAATAGCTTAGAAGATACAGACAAAAGTGTCATATTATTGACCCATATGCAATATCTCTTTTCATATAATACAAAGGTTCATTTTAGTCACTCTCCAACAGTTATATACACAAACCATTTATTAAAGGAGCCTAGATTGATTGACAGCTTGTTGTCACCTCAAACGGACTTTTAATGATTTTGACATTTAAAGGGACAATCAGCTTGATAGAACGGATATCTCAATAGATTAGTAATATTTTCCCAATACAGGAAAGCTGTGGCATTCATCTGATTATACTTTTAGATCTGATACAGATCTACATCTCATTCTATCTAGATTCTTGTGATTCATTGAGAGCTGTTAAAAAATTTCGATGTTTCATATTTATAGGTCATTCCATATTTGTCTTGAAAGCGCTTCACGGATGAGAGCCCTCTATAATCTCGTGGGCTTGTTAATATTTCATGTTAAACTCTGAAATGCACATTTTAGACCTGCTTTATGTAAAAAAGCCGCCATTTTATTATACAGTCAGACGTGACCAATACAATCTTGTATCCTTTTGTGTTCCACAGAAGAAAGAAAGAAGATAAATAATGACAGAATTGTAATTTCTGAGTGAATACTTATTTTAATGGCAATTAAACATTGAAGGTAAAAAATGTGTACTTACTTGATAACAATTATCAATAATGTATTAATGGATTTAGATTCATTGAATATGTGTCTATGTTGCTGCATCTTTTTGATATCAGACAGAGAACAGGAAGCGCCCATCTTTTTCACACCGGCATCATCGTCTCTATATAGGTCAGCAGCTTTGCAAAGAGCTCTGCTGGCAAATGTGTGGTTTGTTTAAGGGTCTGGTTTGCCAACACAGAAAGCACAGTTCAAATCCCAAGAAGGGGTGACTCAACCCTGCTTTATCAGTGAGAGACTCCTCACCATGAGGTTGCTCCTGCGGGACGGCCTCCGCAAATGGCTTTCTGTTACTGAAGCAAATGTGTCTGTTAAATGGCAAGCATCTCTAGTGACCTAGTTTGTACATTTATACGCCTCCTTGTGTATGTCTCTTCCAAACACCCCCTCATCTCACCTCCTGCTTGATTTTATGTTGTATCGCGAACAGTACAACCTCTTGTGAAAAAGAAGGGCGCTTAATTGTATCGAATGTGCACTTGTAGTATACTTCAAAGTTTATATATATTTAAATAAATGGCATCTTAATAGTACTTAAAGAGAATATACTGTCAAGACTATGAAGTATACTTTTTAATAATACCAGATAACTTATTTTGTTGTGCCAACTAACATGCTAAATCACATGTAAAGTACTTAATTATAATTTCAACTGTGTTGAGTTATCTGATACTACCTTTAAAGTTAATTTATTTTAAATGTGCTACATTGTAACACCATCATTACAAATGTGTAATTGCAAATATATTGAAATACCTGCCAGTATTTGGTAATATTTACACGTTAAACAGAAGAATTGGAATGGGGAGAAGCCTCCTATTTGAAATCAGTTGTCAATAATATATTCAAAAGACTTTACTGAGGTTCTTGAGGCCATTATCAGTTGTTTTGTCAGCAGGGAGTGTGAGAATGAAGTGGACAGACTGAGACTCCAGCAGTGCTCTGCTATCGATTTCCCTGCTAGGAAGCACGACTCTACTTGAGGCAGACGAGTCTCACTTTCAGCAGAAATTATGTTAAAGGACAATGTTATTGATTTCCGTTGGTCCAGGTAACTTGTGAAGAGCTGACAGAGACAGCAGAAATGAAAGAGCCGGTGTTTATGTTTTTATTTGTTGAATCTTAAGTGCCATCCAAATGTGTTTCTGCGATTATATTCTCAGGAAACGATACCGTAATGTGGGTTTACCAGCGCTTGATTCGGAAGCTTTCACACCAGTGTCTTGCACAGATCAATTTGTTTTGGGATTATAAAAATGTACAAAAAATATTATGTATGTTTTTAGAAAAATATTAAGCAGCACAACTGTTTTCAACATTTATAATAAGAGATTATATTTATGATTATTATTATTGCCGTGAGCAGCAAATCAGCATATTAGAATGATTTCTGAAGGATCATGTGACACTGAAGACTGGAGTAATGATGCTGGAAATACAGCTTTAACATCAGAAATAAATTACATCTTAAAATATATTCAAATAGAAATTGGTTAAATTAAATTGTATTTCACAATATTATTTTTTACTGCATTTTTATCAATTAATTGCAGCCTTGGTGAGCAAAAGAAACTTCATTAAAAAAACATTATAAAATCTTGCCGACCCAAAGAGTAACATACAATATCAACATATTGGAACATAAACTGTGTTTCACTTATATTTCATAATTGTTGGCGTTTGATGATAAACAAAACAAAAAAAGTACAATTCATGAAGATTTGTATCTTTATGCACATGCATAAAAGGATTACTTTTAAAATGTTATCTTTTTTCTAATAATATCTTTTTATATTTTTCTATATTTGATATCAGAAAGCTCAAGCTGCATT